TACAAATTTATGATTAAAGACACATGAGTGCTAGTTGAAGAGCTATAACAAAATATGTTAACTAATGATGGCAGTTAACTTATTTTGCTATGTTAACAGTTTTAAATTTTGTAACTTTATATCTATCCATTCAGTTATATCTATCCATTAATTAATTAAGTTGTATCTTCTATGCCTTGAGGAATTGATTGTTACAGACAGTTAAAGATCTCCTATACTACTATCAGTTTTAAAGCTATTACACATCATCTCACACAGCTATTTCTCATGCTTCCAATACAATAAAAACACTTACCTATAAAAAGTGGGAGTACAAGTGGACAGCCCTCTATCAGGTAACCTGTGCAAAATGGTGCTATACTTTCTGGAAAAGAAAATTTTACTGCTGTTCCTTCCAGGGATAGTATTATCTCTGGAAGGAACAGTAGTAAAATTTTGTTGGAGATACATCAACAGCATCCTTATCATTTAGAAACTAAAACCAGACATTGACAATTTTTTAGAACACATAAACAACAATCGCTATAGGCTCTTCCTAAAGTTTGAACAGTTAAGCAACAAGTGCCCTCACTTTTTAGACCTGAACATCTGATTTAAAAATGGCCACATTGAAACAGACATATACAGTAGACCCCCTATAATGTGGTAGATATGTTCCACTTTATAAGAATTTCATGTTGTAGGAATCCTTAAATACATGAGCCAATCGCAGCCCAACACATGTGAAGTTTATGGGCTACGGCTGTTTGAAAGGTTTTCTTCCATAAAATTAATCGATTCTAGACTAATTCGACTCAACATTTCCAAAACACGTATATATTTTTTGGGAATAATCAGTATAAACTATGCAATAAACAAAAAATTGTAGGATTACTTACCGAGTGTGCACCATTTGACGTCGCCATTGCTTAAGCTTGTTTTCATCGCGGAGCAGTGCACCAAACAGCGGCCATGATTTCTGATAAGTTATTTTCCTGCAAAAAATTTGTTGACCTTTGGAGACATCATTAATATAAATCATTTTTATGGCCGTTGAATAAGAAATGTTTCTTTCACAAGAAATGTATAAAATTACAGTACTGTATTAGACTTACGGTACCTAATTTACATACTGTACAGACGATAGTAAACTCAACTTACTCGCCTAAACTCTCCGTAGTGTGGCGCTGGATGGTGGAAAGTATATATATAATTATAATGAAGTTAAAATAAATTAAGTTAATATATAATTATATATACAATACCTAATTTATTTATAATACTGTACAGACGATAGTAAACTCAACTTACTCGCCTAAACTCTCTGTAGCGTGTAAGTAGTTTGACTGCTCGTCTACTATTGGTCCAGATTTGACCAATCCTGTCGCAACACGAGTCGGCGACGACATTTTACGTATCCCTTTTAGTGTCTTTATACGAATACTGTCACAATTTTTTCGCCACGTTATAGGAATCTCCGTTATAGGAACTCGCGTTATGGGGGGTCTACTGTACTACAAATTGGGATATCAGATATTTATTCCAATGAGTTCCAACAGTTCATAAATGTACAAATTAGCAGCATTTAGAGCTCTTATTAAACAGGTTTTTCTCTCATTGCATAAACATCATAAATACAATGGAGGAATTAAAATGCATTGAAAACATGTCAATTGTGCACAACTATCTTAAAAAATTATTGAAGATTAGATTAAATGTAAGAGATAGATAGAAGAAATAAAGAGGGTTAATGTGAGAAAGATATCTCTAGTCCCAAAATGGTTGATCATGTCAGTTTAGTATTCAGTGTTATTGTAAAAATGAAAGTAGTTATATGTCAGGCAATTCTTCTTTCTTGTTGGAGCTTTATACTGCCTGGCAATCTTCCTCTTTCTTCTCCTTGTTGAAAGTGTGAAAGTGACCTCCTTCATCCTTCAACACACAAAAAGGAAAATGTGTCCTATATTATCCTACATATACATATATATATATATATATAAATATAAATTTTTCTTCACCCTCAACAAATGGGCTTGTTGCCTCTGTAGGCAACATATCATCAAGACAAAAGAAAGACAGAGAAAGCGAAATGGAAAGACAAAAGAGGATGACAGACATTCTATAAATATAGGGTGTCTCAGTTAAATGTTTCAGAACTTCTAAGAGGGGTAGGGTGCATCCCGACGACTTGGAATCATATAGTAATGTGGGGTCGGAAATGCTTTCCTGATGAGGTAGATGGCATTGAGCGAAAGTTCCAAGCGTTCTTGCAAGGAATCGTCATTTTGTACAAGGATGCAGAGTTAGCCGATATGCATTTGGTGTATGGTCCTGCAGATTGTATTGGGCTAGCCGCACAGCACTTGTATGCAGAACGATATCGGATGAGGTGTATTCCCAGCCATAATTTCTTTGCAAGCTTGCACTAGAGGTTAGCTGTTTCTGTGTACATCACCGCTTCGGGAAAGCATTTCCGACCTTGTATTGCTATATGATTCCGAGTCATCGGGATGCACCCTACCTCTCTTGGAAGTTCTGAAACGTTTTAACTGAGACACCCTGTATATATATATAAACAATTAATTATAACTAAGTATAAAATATTCTATAAATTCAGGATGAAATATATATTTAAAAAATGTAAAAACTATACAACATTGAAGTCTTTTCTAAAAATTTTTAGTCTTCTTAAGCATTTTTTCACAATTACTGGAACATCAATTTAACCAATTTACATAATGTAGGTTGGGAAGAGCTTATAAAAGAAGATTGACTTCATCAATGTTGATTGTGCTCCAGTTATTGTGAAAGGACATTTAAGAAGACTGCAAAATTTTTTTTGTGTATGTCTCTAATATTGTATATATTTTACATTCTTTAAATATAACTAAGTATATTTAAATATATAGTGGGTGATCAGTTAATGAACAAATCGGATCATGAACACTTTTGCAAAAGATTTTTGTTCAGACAATGAACACTTCACAGAACAAATACAAGAAGTGATATAAAATAATGAATACTGATTGGTCTTCCCTTGTCTTCAGGCAACAATTTGAAACCTTTTGGAGTGCGGGAGACATTGACATCGACGCTCAACCCAGTATATACTGATCGGATAGTATTCCTCCAAACTTTGAAATTCTGTCTTGTAATTCCAGCTTTTTATTTTTCTGACAGAAACAATTCTTTTATAGTATTTGTGAGACTGTTGAGCAGGCACTTGTTAAGTTTTGCACTGGTTTTTATTTTCAAAAGGTGAGAGTATAATAGCAAAGGTAGAGAGTGGGCAGATGTCTGATGTTGCTGGACAGTATGGCGTGAATAGGTCTACAGCAGGCTGCAGTTCGATCTTATCTAATAAAGATACTATATAATCAAGAAGACTCAAGCAGCTAAAGGAGTAACAAAAATAAAGAACATTGAAGAGCTCATAATGGAACCTGAAACTGATCTGATGACAGAAGAACGCCAAGAACTCTTGAATGAAGAACACCAAGAAACTTGGTGAGATATGTTTTCTTCTGAAAAAGAGGATTAATACCAATATCTGCTATTAAAGATCTTTTGAAGAAGTGGGAGGGTATCAGAATGACAGTCTTAGATTGGCATCCAAACCAGGTTGAGGTTAATAGGCTTAGGGATCTCTACAATTACAATGCTATTAATTACTTCTGAAAAATCTTGAAGAAGAGAGAAAAGCAATCGACATTAGACAGATTCTTTAACCCCCACAAATGGGGAAAATACATGACTAATAAAAATGCAAGACTGTGTATATATATTTTTATTATTACATATAAATAAACGTAGTACGAAAGTGTATATTTTTTTATTTTTTGGGGTCTCCAGAACAAATTAATCAAATTTCCATAAAAACCTATGGTAAATTGATATTTACCATAGGTTTTTATTTATATTTAATTATATTTACCATAGAACAATTCAGATAGCGAACAAAGTCTTGGAATGGATTATGTTTGTTAACTGATCACCCATTGTAATTTATGGCAGCCAATTGTCACAAAACCATACAGACTTGAAGTAGATCTAATGTTACATTGAAAATGTTTGAATTAAATTAAACTCTATACTAGTGTTACATTAAGATTTATTGTTGTGTAATCAGTCTATAATTAATGTTTATGCAGTTTTTAATAAATGAATAAATAATTCTTCAATTCACAGTTAACCACAGTTTTTTATGTTAATGTCATTAACACACAAAGTATCATTCAATTTATTGTGTCATTTTTATCCATTTTCTTGTTACAGAATTTTATGTATCATATGTCAAAACTACTTTGCTTGTCTCATAGCTAGGAGAATGGAATTGGAAATTTCATAAAGATGAGTTTTTTTCATTACTTTCTTTCTTTTCTCTGAATATTTGTACCTGTCTTTCCAATAGAGTTATATATTTTTCTATCAACAATGGCAAGATTTTCACTTTCCTTATTTATTCATTCTTCCATTTTCTATCAACCAAGTGAATAAACTTGTTACAAACAATTTCCTACCATTTCTGGCTTTGGAGGATATCATTGATCATTCTTTGGTTGTTCCTCAAAGCAATTTCTTTTATAATATTTTTCACTTTTCTGTATTTTAATTTCACAAGTCTATTTACAGTTATATCTTAACAAAAAAAATTATCTTGTTTAATAAATCTTTATTTTGCTGGAATAAAAACATTGTCTTGATATTTCCTTTAATAGATATTCATTTAGTATGTCTGATTTAACAGGTTAATTTTTCAAGATTAATTTCAAAAGTTTGAGAAACAATCATGAAAAATGTAATTTATGATTGCATTATCATTTATTTAGCTACAAAATTGTAAAGCTTTTTTACGGTAAATTTCATAAAAAGCTTTTATATTTTAACATCATAAAATATATCTATATTATTAATTTATATTATTTTAAATAAAAATATTCAGTTTTCAATATAATGTTCTATACTTACCAAGTGTAAATTTTTAATAAGTGATAATTCACAGTTAAATGTTTTATTTTTAGGCTTTAGAAGATGTTAATTTGAAACACAGACCAATCCTAAAAGATATATTGACTTATATGGATAAAGTTTTTACTGTAATATTTTTCTTTGAAATGTTAATTAAATGGTTAGCGTTTGGCTTCAAACAATATTTTACTAATGCATGGTGTTGGCTGGATTTTGTTATTGTACTGGTAAGAATCAGTTTAATATTTATAATAAATTTATTTCTCAAAACCATATTTTAGGATATTAAATATTTTAATTCTCATTATTATTTTTGCAATTGTTTTTGAATTCACAAAAGTAATAATGAAATTAAAATATTGAATAAAAATATTTTAATTTTATTTCAAAAAGTTATTTTTAGTTAAATAGTTTAAATTATTTAAAATAATCTATAAAATTAAATTAAATCTTTCATCTTATAGACTATTAAACCATAATTGTAGTTTTAAAACATTCATGGTTAGTTGTTAGCATGATCAAAAATTTGAATATATTAAAATTCCTCTGTCAGTTTCATTTTAAGTCTTTGCTATGATTATTTTTATTTAAGATTTTTACTTGTATAAAGAATATAAAGTAAACAAAAATGTGTAATTTGTAAATAAATAAATAAAATTCTAGGCCAATTGTTATTCATTATACATGCAGTATGTTAAAATTATCATTTTAGTAATAGCTTGAAATAAACATATAAAATAAATGTCTCTATAGCAATCATATCTGGTTTTATTGTTGCAGAATAAATCAATGTTAGATCTCAAAAATATTCTATTGGTCTAGTATAGAAATTTAAACTTAATAAGTGTTTGTAATAGGATTGTTGAATGAGAATTTAGTAGTCCAATTAATTTAACTACAAGTTAAAATTTTTATATAAATAAAAATATAAAATCTAATCTTTATTAGTAAAAACTGCAGTTAACTTCATTTCATATAGTATTATTAAAAATTTTATTGATTTATCATCAGAATGAAACCAATATTAATCTGTATTGATATGCTGTTGTTCTCAATTGTTACATACAACACTAATTGTATGAAATAAAATTAAATGTATATTTTACTAATATAGATTGAAGAGTATCATTATCTATAAGTTAATTGTTATTTTAATAATTTAAAATATAATTAAATTTATAAAAATGTTGAAATGATTAGCATGACTTGGAATTTCTGTGCATAACCAAAGAATAAAATAACTGGTTATTTTAATAAGTATATAATTTTAGTAATAACTTACTAAAATGTAGGTTAAAATTTCTATTTGTTCCTTTTTTTTCATTTATCCTTTTGTAGATATTTCAAAATGAATTATAAAATGCATGGGCATGCTTGGTAGAGGTTAGATGGGTCAGGACCCAGAGTTTAATATAAAGCTGTTGCACATATCTAATTTTAAATTACATTTTGTGATCTCATTTTGAACTCAGCACTTTTAACTTTTTGAATAACATTTTGAACTTTAGCAGAAAGTTAGAATGTTAACCGATAATATTTTAAATCTTTTGTCAATTGATGCATATGCTTTATCAATGCAATCAATAGCAGAGACAAATATCAAAAGTGTAGTTCTGAAGGATCACCAAGGCGATCCAGAACGTGATGTGAGTAAGAAAGTGAGGACCTTACAACGAATCGGGATAAAAAAAAAAAACTTTTTATATAACTAATACCTTCTCGCGTAATGCAATACATACAATAGACATGAATTATTTTCTCGCATCAATCTCACGCAAACTCCGTTATTCCCGATATTACAATCTAATCCAATATTCATGAGCCCCGTTATCAATCACTCACGGTAATCTTACAGATGAATTACACTGCAGATCCGCCACCACAATAATTCATATATATAGCAGTCTCTCTTGTAAGTGGATGATGTCCGAATGGAGTTGCGACCACGTGGCAACTAAAAAAACATATCTCTCCTCGGATCGAAATAATGGGTTGTGAACAACAGGTTGAAGGTGTTCAATTATCTGACCTAAATCAGATAATTCCCTAAAGTCTGCCGAGTCCGATGTAAACCGATTACTTTACTTACTATTCACTCCGTTCTAACTTACTGCTCCTCTGTCCTTCGCAGGTTCGGTTTCCGACTACCTTCATCCGTTTCCTTACGCAGTCCAGCCTTCACACAGGAACCAGTCCAAAACCAAACACCAACTCACCCCCTCTTGTCACTGGTCACCCTTTTTATCACTTCCTACAAGCTCCTCCCTTCGCCTCCACGTGGTCACCAAAGGGGCCAATCATGGCACTTACAAAATCCACCATAAGGTGGTGCGCGATACAAATTTTTGAACCGAACAAACAAAGAACACGAGAACCCGAACAAAGGCGTGACAACACACACATATAAAAATATAAAAATAAAACATATAAAACAATACAAGTGCCTAGCACTACAAAAGCTGTAATTTTAGGGACCCTTCATTTTAACTATTTTTTCCACGGAACCTAAAGTAAATATACACATATTCTATAAAATGTTATAAATTTATCAATAATTAAATGTAAAGTTGGGATGTTCATTTCTCTCACACTCAACTTTTGAAAATCTGAAGATCCCAAAAATTTTTTTGTCAGGAATACCAATGATCAGATGCTAAATTACTTAATAGTTAACAATGACAAGTTTATTTGTAGTAGGAAATTATTCTAGTCATTTATGAATTGATTAAATTTTTAAAAAAATATATGAAAGATAGATGAAAGTTGAGACTAGATATGGAAAGACTAGGGGTAAGTGACCCAATTAACGATATACGATCATCTAGTTTGCACCAGAAGTCACATTATTTCAATTCAAAAATTTTCCCCTAAACTGAGTTAGATATATGACTAGCATGACTCTATTGTTAACAGGAATTACTTGATGTACAGGGGAAAGATACTACTAAAACAAGGTTTATATTTTAAATTATTATGTATATCACTTAAATTAGGTGTCCTAATTCTTAATGTGATTAGATGAATAAATGCTTGCTTATTAATTTATTTTAATCCATAGTGCCAAAATTTATATTATGAATACATTTAAATTAAATATGCAATAGAATCCCAGTTATTCAAGGTAATGTTGACTGATAGTGTCTCAGATAACAAGAAATTCAGATAATATGGACAACCACAATTATTTTGGATTAAAAAATTATAAATATAAAATCTCTATATATAACCCATTCAACGTGTCCGTCCGTCCCGTAACCGTTTGATAACGGACACTAGAGGCGCCCCTATCGTGTGCCATATTTCAAAAATTCAAATTAACAATTTTAATTCTTATTTAAATTAACAATATAAATTATTATTATTCATTTGCCCAATAAATTATTATTTGGTCAATATAACAATATAAATAATTCAGTATATTTGTAATAGGAATTTATTATTTCAGGGGTTTATATCTTGCGAAGGGTCGCAAGTAGGGGTATGGTTCCTTTGACTTTATTGTTCGCACAGGGGGCTACAGTTTGGGGGGGTTGCCACCTCTTCACCTAATCTTACCATTGGGACTTTAACAGAGCTGTATAGCATATTGATAGGAACAAAAAAAGTCAAAGGAACCATGCTTCATGGAAATTTGTAAACAACGCCCACTAGGGGGCGTCCCGGGCTACTAGTATTTATACAGTATATCAATTTTAAGCTCTTGAGAATAATAAGTGAATTTACTCATATATAAGAACAACAATTTTTATATCATTTATTATATAGTTGATATATGTACAATAGAAGAATAAAAATGTGTATTGTTATAGTTACATTTTACCGTGTTTCCCCGAAAATAAAACAGCATAGGTTTTGCTGAATTGCTAAATATAAGGCCTCCCCCGAAAGTAAGACCTAGCAAAGTTTTTTTTACTCATAACGGTCATCGACAGATGGTTGAAAGTGGCCGTTGGCTTTTTGAAAGTATAGCCACTGATTGGTCAGCAGACATTCACGCCACACGGCATGATTTGCATAAAACTATGGATTGGGTATCAGATTTGCGTAACGTTACGGCTGGTGATGGCTAATTGGTCGGCCAGGAATCACACCACATCACATTTGCATAGTGCTATGGTTCAGTAAGCACTAATTGGTCATCGAGCCTGATGTCTACGCTATAAAAAGTTTAAGTTGAAGCGAGAGTGGGAAGTCCACTCCAGCATGGAAACTTCGTAAATTCACTTCGGTTTTATTTAAGTTCAGTTTGACATGACCGGATATATGTCACTCTCATCTAAGTTCAACTTAGGAATTTTTTTGTTCAATAATAAATTGTGAATTCTTCTTCATGGAAAAAATAAGACATCCCCTGAAAATAAGACCTAGCGCATCTTTCAGAGCAAAAATTAATATAAGACACTGTCTTATTTTCGGGGAAACACAGTAATATGTATGATTTATCTCACATTGAGGTTAAATGATAAAAGGTAACAGAAACAAATCATTTTGTAATATGTATTATTGCTTTAATTAAACTTTCTTTTATGAATTTTAGTATAAGAAAAGTAGAGTGAAATAATAGTAACGAGTAAATATTTATTATGACATCATTACAATGCCAGGCTGCAATTTTTGATCATATTTTTAATTTATTTTATTTAAAATATATGCTCTCCACCTCAAATTAGTAGTCTTGCCCCTGTACATCATACATTTCCTATTAGCAATACACTCATGCCAGCCATCTATCTAACTCCTTTCAGGGGAATTTTTGAATTGAAATAACATGACTTCCAGTTTGCATCAGAAGTTTGTATATATCAATAGTTCATCATAGCCTGCTGCCTCTAAGCTATCCATATCTGGTCTCACCTTTCATCGATCCAACTCTGTTCTTGAGATTAAGAAAGGAGAAACAGACAGATGGACAACAGTGGGGATTTATAGGTCTACAGTTTTTTCAACTTGCAGCCCAATAAGATACTGATAAATACAATTCATAATAAATATAATCCATAATTATGATCCATAAATATATTTTTATTTTTCCAAAAATGTTTGAGTTAAATTTAAAATATGATAATCATAATGGTCAATTTCACATTTTTCATTCACACCAATGTCAGAGAATTAGATATATCTAGACAAGGACATGCATATATGAAGGGTTTTGAGAGTTTAACCCCCTCCTGTTTGGAAAGAATTAAAAAAAATCAAATAAAATTAATCAGGGCCTCCTGCCTAT